AAAATTATTTCTTATTAAAATTATAAATTTTTATATAGAGAGAAAATTTCAATTTTCATTATGTTTTATTAGTAAATGTAGCCTCTGAGTTATTACTTTTGGTCACCACTGTATATAATAAAATTTTTTAATTATTTTTTAAACTTAATTTTTTTAATTTAAAAATTAATTAAAGAAAGAATACTATATTATTTAATAAACTTTTTATAATATTAATAAGTATAAATAAAAAGATTTATATTTTTTAAATAATTTTTTTTTGAATTATTCAGCATTAAATTTAAAAAATTAAGTTTTTTTATTATTTATTATGTACATATATTACTTTTAAATTAATAATATATTTTATTTCAATTTTTTAATACTTATAAATATTTAATTAATTTCTTTTAAATAGTTATAAAATTATCTTTATAAAATTATCTTTATAATTTTATAATAAAATTATACAATAAAAATTAATTATAATTTGTAAAAAAATTAAATTTTATATTAATTTTAATTTTAATTATTAATATTTAGTTTTATTATAGTTTTGAATAATAAATATATAATTTTTTATTAAAATAAAAAATATTAAATCAATTTTAAAATAATTTAATTTTACTATAAAAAATATAATTGATTGTAATTAATAACTAATACATTCAGATAGAAAAAATAATTATAATAATTATGATTATAAAATAATTTAACTTTACTCATTTAATAAAAGATCAAATTAAGAAATTCAAATAATTTTATTTAATTTAGCTAATATAATAAGAATTTTTAAATTAATAATCAATATTTCTAGAAATTTTATAGAAATTAATTATGAAGTTTGCATAATACAAAATAAATATATTAATCAGAAAAACAATAGAAGCTTTGCAAGAACTATGAAAAATCAATCTAAAACAAAAAGATTGCAAATCAATGCATCAAAATATATTATATAAATAAAAAATATATGATGAAAAAAGTTTATTATAACTATCATATTTTTGTATAGAAAATTGCATCGGTTAAGATGGAAAGAAAAAAGAGGAATGCTTTAATAGATCACGGTCTTCTGATATTTTTAATGGAAATGAAAAGCTTTTATAGCATATTACATGTATAATGACGCACAAAAATATACATACATGAAATTAAATATTTAATGCTAATGAGAATTTTTAAATGAAATCTTTATTTTTAATTTTGGTGATGAAGAGATGTTGACAACTTAATTTTTTTAAAAAGGAACTCTAATCCTTATACTCTATAAGAAATTTTTTGTTAATTTACACAATTTATCTACAAAATGTTGTCTTACCCTTGTTATAGAATGAAAACGTATCCTTAATTCTTATGAAAAGAAGATAGGAATGAATGGATTAGATGGAACATGAATTACCATTCACTCATTAGGCGCAGGAAAGAGTGAGTTAGTAATATCATTTAGATTAGGGAAAGAATTAGGATTTGGATTACTAATATTTTGTAAAGAAAAATTGTCAGCCGTTCGCGTAGAATGAAGAGGAAAATCATCATAAGAGTTTGTGCGTAAGTTTATTCCATCATTGGAATAAGGTTTCCGTATTGTTGTATCATAATCTTGACTTTCTGTGATGGATTTGCTGTTATTTTTGTTATGTTCGATTGAGCTAAAACCAAAATCTTGAATTTGTGAGTCATTTGTATCTTCTATTTCATCAAATAATTGGAAGTCGTGATCACGATATTCCACATAATGATCACTTTTTTTGTGTTTAAATGAGTGATTGTTATCATCATATAAACCAAAGTCAACAGTGTTTATATTCGACACTGATAAATCAAATTTGTGTGTTTCAATCACATTAATATTCTGATTAGTGTTTTTTTTCTCACCGAAATATTTCTGACCTGTTTTTTGACTATCGTTATTGATAAATTCAAGTTTTTGAGACACGATATCCCAGCTTGGTTTGCTAAAAGTTTCCGACATTTTGTTACTTTGTTATCTGTGGTGTTGTCGTTGTTGTTGTTTTTTGTTGTATGTATGTATGAATGTATGTATTTAAATATGTATTTGTGTATTATTATTATTATTATTATTATTGGTAAGTTGGAAAAAATCGTTTTTTGTTAGTAAAGTTCAAAAAGATTTTTCCCTAAAAATTCAGTGGAAACTACTTTTATTTATAGTTTCAATACGGATTTAATAGTCCGATTTTGTTAGTATGTTAAAAAAAGATTCTCTTCCTTAAAAATTCGATATAAGCGCAGGCTTTATATAGTTTTAAAACGGAATCAATAGTCCGAGCCGTAGTTACGTACATGCATTGTGTGTGCGTGTGTGTGTAATATAATACATCATAAATTTATTAGAAAATATTCTAAAATGAGCTAAAAAGGCAATAAATAATTTATGATTCAACAACTTTCGGAAAGATATCCATCCGAGACGACCAACCGCAGTTATATCGATATCGATATTATGTAATTAATTTCTTCTGAACCGCAGCATTACGTATTAGAGAATACTGAGGAATTATTTATCGTTATTAATTGACGGAGTTCGATTTTTAATGAGCACAAAAAGCTCGACTCCAATCGCTTATTAAATGTATCATGTTTTAATTGGTTCACATCCGGCTATTTTAGGAATTCTTGTACATGTTTTCTTTTAATAGGTTTTGTTGTTAAGAAAATAACGCATTTTATTATTATGATACTATATTAAGATTAGACGAGAGCTTCGGAAATAAAAACGTTTTTATTACTTTATTTGCCAAAATTCTTTCATGGCTTACTTGACTATATCCAAGTGATTCCCTAAGATTCTTGTAAGCTACACATTAATTTTTTGCCAGTGCCAAGACGGCGAAGAGTTTTTAACGCTACTCCTCGTTTTCGAGTTCGTATGTGGGTTTGGAGATATGCAAACGGTGCGTGCTAATCAATATAGTGTAACTGCGTATTAATTTATGCTAGGTATTTTTAGTTATTTATTTCGGGTATTTTGGTAACCTAGAAGTTTTTATGTTACATCGCATCACTTTCGTCCCTTTTATTCCTTTTATTCCTTTTATTCCTTTTATTCCTTTTATTTCTTTTATTCTTTTTATTCCTTTTCTTCCTTTTCTTCCTTTTATTCCTTTTATTTCTTTAGTTAACTTTTATTACTGTCACTTTCTGACGTATAAATTAGTCATCTTATCTCAGAAGAAGTAATAAGTTTTTAATAAAGTCTTGATAATTATTACAGAGCGTCACCTAAGAGGTAATTATTATTCTTAAAATCTATTAAAATCCAAAGACCTGCTTACGCATTAAAGCGAGATATACAAAAATTGGTACAACAATGTCTAGTATGCGAGAGTGGTAGCATCGTATATACATTTGAAAATGGCGAGTTAATTACATGTATTTTGATTAATGAATTTTTTTTATTTATTTATATAAAAACATTATCGTTATTTTAAGATTTTTTATTTCACGATCTTCAGTTGTAAAAATTGAAAGGTTGGTCATTTTTAAAGAAACGTATTTATTTATGCTAGCTCAGAAAGAGCGATTGAAACGCTAAGCTTTCAACTGTGCTAAAATAATTTATAAAAAGAAGGTATAACGATAATACAAATCAAAATATAGTTCAAGAAAACTAGAAATTAAAATGTCTTTTTTCTTAAATGTCCATTTTTTATATATATTGTATATAACGTTATCTAATCGTCGAATTCAACCACATCGAAAAAAGTTCGAGCGATATTAAGCGCATCTTCATCCAGAGAAGCCAACGCCGAAATTTTCAGCAATTTTAAAGTATAGCCCAAAGTACTTACAACCGCATCGAGATGTCGTTTATCGAAAGAATGAGAATGGCTAAATTCCAATACTCTCAAGTTTTTCTTATTTCGCAGGAAGCTTTCCAATGATTGACATGAAAATTTCCAGCCAGCTTCAATTGTGAACTTTTTTAAATGTGGCATTTCAAGGTTAGCCAACGAGTTGAAAAAATCGTCCACGTTTATCTCAGCCATTGCACCAGTTAAGATGACTGTTTCTAATTGTGCGTGAGATTCGAATAAGGGAACAAGATAATCCATGATAAATCCGTATACATAAAGATTCAATTGACGTAAATTTTTACAGTGCTCTATGACGCTTTCAATTAGCCCTTGAGTTGCGTCTGGATTAGGATGAAAATAATTTCCAAGGTCTAGATGTTGAATTGATGCTCCACAATTGATGATAAATGATTTGAGTGTATTTGTGGGGACAGATGTGTTGTCCAAATTGAGATATGTTAATTTTGAAAATGGGGCGTCAATTAGTGGCGCCATAATCTCTTCCGTTATTCCGTAGCATGATCTAAATGTTAATTCTTCTAGGTCTACCAATCTTCTCAATTCTTCTAATGGAGCCCAATTATAGAATTTAGTGTTCGTGAATAATAATTTTTTTAATGAACTTGATTGTGATCCTATTGATTTTATTAATTCCCCTGAACCAATAAGTCCGCATGAAATGTCAATTTCCTTTAAGTCGCTCTGAGCTGTAATAAGATCAGCTAAACTTTTAACTTCTTCTGTTCTATCTTCAATTTCACTTTCCAATCGTTGAGAACAAACGCTACATAAACAACTCACCTGAGGTCTATGTGTCGGTAGATGAACAACCATACGTTGAATATGTCGTGATATCTTAGCAAGCTCACGAAATAATTCCGTTTTCTTGCCCATCTCTCGAAAGATTTCAGTCGAAGTTGACTTTATTATGCAAATGAACTCGGTCAATTGTGAAAAACATGATCTTGCATTTGCGTAAATTGGAACGGTCAAAAACCATCGTGGTACCTCAGCATCTTCGTTTATGCTACTTCCTAATATCAATGATTTATTTTCGAAAGCTGTAACGTCAATTGAGAGTCTCTTAATTGAATTACACCGACCAATTAAAAGCTCGCATATTTTTGTTGATAATTTTTGCTCGTCATATTCTATTGACATTTGATCATATGATGGAGCATCGGACAATATATCGACATCGCTATCATTCGATGAGCATCTGCAGCAATCCAATAAACGAATCAAAAAAATAATTGCATCTACTGCATATTTTAACAGTGAGAATAATGGTGAATTAGTCGATTCTGCCTCCGACACATTATCTTGATAATAAATCTGCTGTCGTCTCGTGTATTCTATCCAATCACGAACTGCCGCATGAATATCCACCAAATCCAAGCATCTCAAATAAGTGATGTAATGAAAGGCGGGTGCGGATGCATTTGATCCCATGCTCTCTACCTTTGACTCTGTTTTGATATTGTATTTTACAACTTGATCCTCATCAAGATCATTTATTTGTTCGGGAGTTAAATAAGCGAAATAAATTCGCAGTAATTTTGTCGCTTTAATTTGTCGTGTTTCCTCGCTACAATTTCTCGTTGCCTCATGAGAGTAGAGTAATCGAAATGGCTGTCGCCAGAGTGTTGGAATAGCATTTTCACACCAAATACGATTCACTAGGATACAGGCGTGTAGCGCCTGCTTGTTGTCCGTGAGATACCCAAAGATTTCCGAAAGACAATCTGGGGTTAATGATTGTGCCATTATTTTTATTAATTATCAACGATGTTCGTGAATCTAACGATTATAAGGATAAATGATGTTTATTAATTCACAAGAAAAAGAGAATGTGGGCCAGTATAAAAATATTTTATTAAAAATAAAATTTTTAATAAAAAATACAATCGCATACCGCCAGCACTGTTCATATAGGTTTGGCTGCACAATTTCATTAACGTCGTACAAATTCCTTTGTGTATGACATCTCGGATCAATCAATTATCAATTATTTTTATTAGAATTTGATTTCATCTGATCAAAGAAAATTCCAAATAATACGAAACACCTCGGAGCCAATAATCTTTAGGCCTTAAGTGCATTCGATCTACTATCTACATTTCTACTTTAAAATAAGAAAAAAGGGATGAAGGTTTCACTGCATTATAAATTTAATAATCAAAAGGGTATCTTTACGCGAAAAGGTAGAACGGTGAAACCTTAAATTACGCCAGACTTTCATGTACATGTGCATGCAATAACGATTACTTTACATTGACGCCGAGCAAGATAGCCGAACATTGCGAAAAAGAGAATCACGCGAATTTGGGTAGGGATGCTTAGTTGACTACATGTATAATAGAGTCGGATGTATAATTAATTTTCACATTAATTCATCCACAGTTCTTTATTTAACCTCATGCATCAAGCAATATTAACATAAAACTTTGCCATCAATTTTCTTATAGAAAAATGCTTAAACTTCACCAAGATCTTCATCCGGAACAAAGGCCAAAGTTTCCATTCTTGAAAAGTTTCACTGAATTAGCGAATTGGCAACCAGGAAATGATGACCGGAATGTTGCAAGAGTAACACTTCGTACACGACCTGAATTTCGACAGATTGTTTCCGATGAAGAAAAAAGCAAACGAGATCTCAAAGTTATCGCATGTCATGATATGGCAGGCGGTATGTAATTGTTTATGTAATAGAGTCTTTTTGTTAGGCGCCTTCTTATCATTTAGCCAATTTTTCCTAGGATATATTGAAGATTACTTCAAAATCGGTTATAGCATTCAATATTGGCAATATGTTGACACCTTTATTTAGTGAGTAACTTTACGTTTTCGTATCTTTGCATTTATCTGATAATCAATTTAATTATCGCGATCTAGTTTCTCGCATAATCGTATTGGAGTACCTCCGCCACAATGGACAAATGCTGCGCATCGTAATGGTGTTAAAGTATTAGGTACATTGATCACCGAATGGCAAGAAGCCATGCTCGAAAATGACTTATGGGTCCGTGGACCTAACCTCGAAGGAAAGTTATCCGAAGTGGAAAATGTAGATCGGAGTATCGTTAACACTGTTTTCGCGGATAAATTGAGTATGTTATTTTTTTCTCGTTATATATAACCGAAACTTTAATATTTGGATTAACCGAATTATGGGTTGTTGTTTAATTTAAAGTTCAAATGGCTGAATATTATAACTTTGATGGATGGTTTATAAATGTCGAAGCACCATTAGTCGGAGGTGCTGCCCATGCTAAGCAATTAATGACGTTTTTGGAATATTTGAAAAGAGAAATTCATCGTAAAATCCCAGGATCTTTGGTTATATGGTACAAGTTGTACTTTTTCCTTTATTTGTGCTAAGGGACTATAGTTTATCAAATATGATATCTTAGGTACGATTCAGTAACTACTGAAGGGCTCGTTCAATGGCAGGATCGGCTAGATGATGCAAATTATCCATTTTTTAAATCAACGGACGGTATTTTCGTAAATTATACTTGGCAAGCACATTTTCCTGCCCTTTCTGCTGCTAGAGCAGGTGAGATAAGACAACGCGAGGTTTATACTGGAATCGATATTTGGGGACGTAATACCTATGGTGGTGGCGGGTAAGTGTAAAGACCAAATTACAAAAAGAAATTAGCATTTAGTCCTCCATTTACCCAAATTCTATTTGATTTATATAGCTTTTCCACTCATAAGGTGATTATCAATTAGTTATCATTGATTCGTCATACGAAAATGTTTAATTAATATTTTTTTAGGCGTTGGAAATAATTAAGAACGCAAGAACATCAGCAGCTCTATTTGCTCCAGCTTGGACATTTGAACATCTTGGCGTAGAAAATTTTTGGGATAATGATAAATTATTTTGGCAAGGAGGTGTATCGTCACAATCAACTGGAGGAGATAATAACACTGGAGATATTGGAATCACAGGGGGTAAATGACGAAAAAAATATTTCTTTGATGCTCTTTACTTATCAACTCAAATTTACCATCAAAATGTATTTCATAAAGTGAGAAATCCTGGCATTGCTGATTATGTTACAGCACGATATCCACCCGATAACAGACTATTTTACACTAATTTTTCTCGAGGATGCGGAAAAAACTTTTACGTTGATGGTCGGGTAATTAATAGATCTTGATAATTTATAATGACGACGAATTATATGCAATTTCAGTTGATTAATTTATGCGATTCAATATTTCATATCATTCGATATAAATGAATAGTTGGTGTTATCAAATCAGGATTGGTATCATTTAAGTCATCAGTCTATCCAGCCGAATAAGCTTGCACCGACATCACCGGTGACATTTGACTACTCATTTGATAAAGCATATCAAGGAGGAACTTCTCTTATCGTTACACGAACTGCTGAATTCAACTCAACAAGGTTTATTCTTTCACTCTACGAGATGGATGTTCGACTATCTACGAATGGTCCAACTCGAATCACGGTCACTTATCTTCCTGCTCATAATGATGTTCATATTGGTACTTTTGCTAAATTGGGAGCAAATGGGGTAGTTGAATTTGTAGGTGGAAATGATAATAACGTTAGTAGTGATGGAAGTGATGGAAAAACTACAGTAATGTTTTTATCATTCGAAAATTCTGTGATTCAATCCGGAACATCGTTACCGCCAAATCAAGTAAAAATGTTTAAGCCGACTTCTAGTTTAAATAGAGATGGATGGATCACTTCAGAGTTCTTATTAGAACCAAACTTCTTTTTGCCTCCTCCTTTAGAAAATCCATTATCAATCAAAGAATTTGGATTGACTATTTTCACTTCGCCAACTACAAATGATAATGTCACATCAAAATCTGAAATCTTAGCATATATTGGTGAACTGTCTATCACTCCATTTATTAAGGAAACATCACCACAAGAAGTTGTACACAATGTCTTTTGGGATCCTCAACATGTTGATAAGATTAAAGATCAAGGATTATTACGTATTTGGGGGAACGTTAAATGGGAAATGGGAATTCGTGTTAACGACGACGAATCTTTCGACAACACTTTAACCGGTCCATATGTAAACACCTATGCTTACTACTATGTGTATGCAGGATTATCGACCGATCCTAACGCAAAGCCAGTTATGAATGAATTGACATTTTTGGGCATTGCTGATACAAATTCTTTTTGGATTGCTGGATTTGATGTATCAGCTGATAAGGTCAAGAATGAAAACGCGGGCTTGGTTGTTTGGATTCAGAGTGTTAAAGAAGAAGACGGGGCGAAAGCAGAAGTTTTTGAGTGGCGTAAGTGTTGGATAAAATTGACAGGGTATATTGATTAAGTGAAGTTAATTTTTCATTTTATAATAATAATCATGTATTGATAACTTCTGAATGTGTATAATGATGAAAATTGTAAAATTGTCGAATTAATTTGGCCAAATTATTTGAATATTAGATTTTTTTAGCAAGCATGATCAAAATTGAAGCCTTCTTCAGTTTTGTCATCTTTTCGTTTTTTGTTGTCGCTTTTGTTTCGCATTCTTTTCATGTTCTTTTGTTCTTCAATCTGGAATTGCATGTGCATGTACAGTAGGTCACATCAGGAACACCACACGAAAAAGTTTTACGAAAAAAATTTTAGTGCCTCTGGCATCGATTAAATGTACCTGGTTCCCTATATTCATTTTAAAGCTAATAACCTGGCGTATGTCTAAAAAAAAATGTGGCATTCTAAAGAAATTAAGTGATCTACATGAATATTTTTAATTAATGAAATTTTAGTTTTGTTATTAGAGAAACCCAATTTTCAGCTAAAGTGATATCAAATTCGTTTAGTTATTAGATCTCGAAGTTTCAAATTACTGCTAGTAAAAAATCATTCAACTATTTCTTTACTGGATCTAATAATCCAATTTGGTTGAAAATTTGATTATAGATAGTTCTTATCAAGAAGCACATTTTAAATGGATCAATCCTCTAAACTTTCACTAATTAAAAATATTCAAGTAGAACACTTAATTTCTTTAGAATGAAGCATTTTTTTTTTTGACATACTCTAGGTTATTAGCTTTAAAATGAGTATAGGAACCGGGTACATTTAATCGATGTTAGAGCTACTAGAACTTTTTTCGTAAAACTTTTCGTGTTGCGTTTCTCATGAACTTTTAACTTTATACCGTGAAGTTAATGTTGGGATATAATATGTAATTGAGACATACCGACATAAAAGATATCGATATATTGTATGATAACAAATGATTCCAAAGATTACCCAGGTTAAAACAATAATACACTCGAAAACACAAAGTAATTGAAACCACTTTTTAAAAATCAGTTAACATTAAATATCGATATGTAGTTTTTCTTGCAAGTCATTCGGCATATCCTACTCTTTATCTTTGATTTCGTGTGGTATACATGTATTAATATCGAAATTTGTTTTTTATCACCAAAAAAAATGACGAAATCAATGAATTAAAGAAATGATGAAAATAATACAAATATAACATGATTTTGGAATATATAAATTAACGATTGTAGTACCTAAATAAGTCTTTAATAGATTTAAATCAATCTGAAATGTCACCTTGATTGAATATAGCACATACCCGTATGAGTTGGAATTGATATTAATTTCGAAAGTAAACATTCGACTGGTGCAAATTGCATTAGAGTCGATTGGTTGATTTTTGTTTATATTCGTAACAATGCTTTCATCTCGTCAATTCTTTCAATTCTGTCTTTCTAGTTTAAGACACTTTGGTTTCTTATTTATTTTAGGATATTCTAAAAAAACTGTAGTACTGAAAATGAAAAGTATTCAGTATCTAATAATCTTCATCGCCGCATAGATAGAATTTATAAAGTCACCAAGTTCCTCAGTAGTTGTTCTGTTTTCTGGAATAGGATCCTACCATTTTTCAATAATGCGAACCATCCGGGAATATTATTTGTTAATGTAGGTCGTATTCCTTTGATGTCTAATACGAGATTTCTTGTTACGATCTCGTACACAACCATTCCAAAGCTATAAATATCTTCAGCGTTAATGTATGACTTTCCCATTTAGCACCTCTGACTCATAAGGAAGTACGCCACAAGTTTTTTTTAGGTTTTTCTGCATTTGATGAAATGCTAAGTCCAAAATCAGCAATTTGAGGTTTACAATTATACATTAATGTATTTCCAGGATGAAATCACGAAGCACAAACTTCTTCGTGAATTTTAAATAACTTAGGTTGGTTTTAATATATTTACCATTTTCTGCATAAGTCATCATTATTGAGTATTTGTATAATTAATAACATCAAAAGCATAATAGCATTTAAGAGCGGTCTTAATCTTTTTTGAAAAATTTTGAATGTATTAGAAGCAAAAGCAATTTTCACTTTCCTTTTATAACTCTTGGGTATTTGCTTTGACTTGCGTACCGATTTCAACACAACTTTGCCGCCTCCAATTCGATTAAATTTTTTATTTTCTTCATGCTCCAAAAGGTCATCTAATGGTCCAGATTTGCTTATAACTTGCCCCAACATCTTCCTTTGCAAGATATTCAAAATTCTTTTATTAGAATATCGACATATTTGCAGTCACCGTTGATGTACGGATACTAATCTATAGCGGATTGAGGTCCAGAACAGTCTATAATAAATCGCCGTCAATATAACTGGTTCATTAATATACCGTTAATATAATGGATTTTTCGCCAATGAACCCGCCCGCCCTCTAACATTTATAAATTTGTTTGAACATGCCCATCAGAAACTTTACTATAATTATGGCTTTCAATTTTATCTTTGAGTTCATTTATAGAATGTGTGTCTGTATCGATATCAATATATGAACATGAACACACGTGTGTAAAAGATGCCGCATAAAATCCCGAGATGCCCAATATCCCGAAACGCCCAACATCTCAGCACTCAAAATCCTGATACATATATGCCAAGAATTCTGAGACATAAATTCAGCTCAACTCTCAATAGTATTGATTTAAGATAAACCGGTCGAGACATAAGGTTGATTTTCTGTCTATATGCACATTTGTATAGCTATCAATGATAAAATAAAAATCATATAAAGATACAGTAAGTATGAACATTTTCTTGTTTTATTTATTTTTTTTACTCATATTTTATGTTGTTTTGCTTTACATTTTCGCTAAGTCTCTTAAATTTTTTTTTATTACACGACGAACAATCCATAATATATAATGTGATCGTTTGTTTCGCATGTAAGCTCTTTGCTTTATTTACAAGTGAACATGAGCACAAAACAAAGTTATACTCTCGCGTTTAAACTTGAGGTAATTTCATATTCAGAAGTTACATCCAACTGTCATGCTTCTTTATATTACAAAATCGATTGGAAATGGGTTCAAGAATAGCGAAAACAAAAATAAAGAGTTCGAGACTGTGCTGAGGTCGAATTTATATTAAAGGAAATGCGATTTATCAAGTTTATATAGCGGGTGCGCGTTATATCGGGACGCCCATGAGCGTTATTTTGAAACCATGTATGCTATTTTAAGGGATACGATTTTCGAAATAACGTTCATGGGCGTTATTTCGCGAAAATACGGTAAGGTATTAATATAGTTTTGGCACGATCTGCTATTAACAATAAAATTATAAATTTAATATCGAAAGTAAAATTCACGAAATTCATAATTTGTAATTGTCAGGATTTGGTATGTCGATATATTGGGAATGCCTGATTTTAGACATGTCGGGATTTAGATATGCATGCATGTATTGGGGTTTTGGTATATGTATTTGGTATTTCGGGATTTGGTTTATTATCGTTATAGTAATGCTAGACATGGCGTACACAAAGATACCAAGAGACTCATCCTATTACAACAATTATCATCGAATGTTGCATTCGGTAATCTCCTTTTAATAAAGGATTGTTAATAGTTTAAATGCACATTAAAATTAAAAATACATGTAGTTCCTTCATTTGATAAACAGGAAATTCAGAAATAACTAAAGAGCATACTGTAGCCGTCACAACGAGAAATCCCGTAACAATAATACATGTTCAACTAAACTTCACCAAAACAAGAATAAATTCTAGTTTTTACATATTTGCGGATACATGTATTGCTTAAAAGTTATCTTTTTCTATTAGCGATAATAATATACCTTTGTAGCTTAGAAGCTGCAGCATTAAATGATATTCGAATTGTTGCGCACTTGATATTTAATATACTTTTATTAGAATAATATTATATTTTACAAACATATTGTTTCTTCCAGATTTCGGTGTTACACGTATAAAGGAACTAGAGTTTGAGACAAATAATAAATGGTAAATAACAATCAAAAGTTAAATTAAAAAAGATCGGTATAAAACAGCCATTAATATGTTTATAAGGCCTGGTCTCGACTATTTTAAGTTTCCTATGGTTTTGCAATAAGATGAGGATTGGAATGTATTGCAAAGGGGTCAATTAGCTCTCGTTGAAGAGCCCATGAGAAGTCAGTCAGTCTAATCGAAGGGCGGAGTCGCATCCAGTAGAGTTGTTTAAATGACATTTGTCTTCTTTGTGGAAAAAACCTTGGCTTACTGAGGGATTAAAGAATATAAAAGCGATAACTGATTATTTAACAGAAAAGCAAAAGGTAATCGTAAGCACAGTTTTTGTTTTGCTGACTATCATATTGTTTGTTCTGCTTTATTCTAATTGATATCAATATGATTAATTCATTAAGGAAAAAGTGAAAACTGGTTGGCCAGTGTTAGAATTTTCGCGACAAATTTAGTTTTGAATGTATCCGCAGAATGGCATGGTAAAGCAGGTTTAAACTTCTCCATTTTAAAACTTGATCTTTAATTTAATATTTATACTTAGAAATACAAAAAACGTGCTACGGAAGGCAGTTTTATAATATTGGATAATATCAATTCACGAAATTTAGAGTTATAACAGAATGTATGTTGTTTGAATTAATTTTTAAATTTTGTTTCTAGAAAAACTAAATCTCGATTGTGTGTTTAACAAATAGGTGAAGCTGCTGCCATACATTCATGTTAAAAGAGCATAATCTAGAGACAGGAGGGTAATTTTTATTTCTTAAATTATATTGTACTATTATTAAATAGTGCATACATGTTTTAGCAAATTTTATGGTTGTTGATGTTGATTATGGCGGGAGTACAGTCGACATAACCATAAGACAACTATTAGACGACAAACCAACTAAGCGAAATCATTGAACGATCTAGCGATCTATTCTGCTCGACATTTACCGATCGCGAGTTCCTGAAGAAAAAACTTGGCTATAGCGCTATTGAAAAACTGAAGCAAAACAATTATAAACAAATACAAAATTTTTCTGCTCTCGCATCAAATGCCCATTCGACGGCGAGAGCACGTCATTTCGCACAATTGAACTTGATGTTCCATATTATTGCTCAGCTGTGCTGTTAAACGAAGAGAGGAAAAAACAGATGGATGAGGATGATTGGCTGATTGAAATAACATTTGATGATGTGAAAGAGATGTTTGATCCTGTGGTGAAGTGTATTATCGATTTGATTGAACAACAGTTGGAGGAATCAAAACGAGAGTGTGATGCTCTTTTTCTAGTTAAAGGATTTAATGAGTCGCCTTATTTATAAAAAAGATCAGACAAATGTTTAGTGAGAAAATTAGTATAATCGCTATTCCCGTCTTGTCCGATAATTGCGGTTGTTCGTGGTGCAGTGTCTTATGGTAATAATTCGGAATTAATGTTGTTTTTCGATAAATTTGTTTAAATTAATAATCAACTGCATCTTTTCTCATTTAGGACTTAACATATTATAAGGCCGTAGACTAATGTATACGTACGGAATCGAAATCCTCGACGTATTCAATCCCGGATTTGACAATAACCAAGGATGGAAGTATTTTCCGATTCAGTCTATTAGTAAAAAGCGGTACACTATTTGGTGGCAATGCAAAAGTTGCACGCAAATTTTTAGTGCATCCTAATCAAACTGAGGCCTCAGTTAAGTTATACAAAGCGCCTCATGACCGAACTCGTTATTGTGACAATACAGGTGTTTGTTTATTGACACATTGAAAGTCGATTATCAAATGGTCATCTTAGTCCAAGTGAAACTGAGCCGACTTTTGGAACAATGCTTGAGGTGAATGCGAAACTTCTGCAAACTGAACAATGTTTTAGAACAAATTTTCAATGTTACGTTGATTGAATGAGATTTGTTTTTGCTTTGTATGTAAATTTATATTGTTTGTAATTTTTTATTTAATCCTCAAATTGACCAATATTTAAGTTTAAAAAAGCTGTGAAATTGTAAATTCGAGTGATTTTTAAAATTAATTCATTGTTTTTATATATCGAAAAAAAGATAGTATCAATAAATACTACTATAGAACTAGATATTTTTTCGTAAGTTAACAAAATTGATCTCTGAAAAATTCAAATTATTCTAAATAATTATAATTTTTTATCCAAGCTATTTCAAATATATTCAAGAGCCAATTCTAATATTTTATTTCATTAGTTTCAAATAAGTTTTAGAAATTATTTTCTCAAATTTGCAAATATAGTAAATTGCAAGCTGCATAATAAATTCTGATAGATGCAAAACTTTTAATTTTTAGTAGTAATACAATATATAAATTACTATTTTGCAATATTTATATATATTTCAATTTAATTTTCAGATTGATTTCAATTTTTCAGACAAGTCTTTTGATCAATTAACAAATATACAAGAAAAATATTCCAGTAGATATAATAGAACAGAAATTCTATAAAGAAGTTCAATACTTTTTATTTACAAATATTAATCTTAATGACTTATATTAGTTTTTGTGTAATGAATTTATTAATTCTGAAAGATCTAATTATGATCTGTTACTTTTTATCAATTTGCAAATTTGAAAGTGATAAGAGCTGACATTATTAAAAAAAATCAAATTTAATAAATTTAATATTATTAAAAAGATCTAGTTGAGATGTATCAAAAATTAAATTTTATTTACTAGATGCAGAGATATTATATTTCAAAATATAAGTCAGTGCAAAAAGATTTGTATCTCAATGTAAAAATCAATAATTACTTCTAATAAAAATCATTTAAATTTTAATTAATCTTTATAATTTTTTTATATTAAATAAAAAAATGATTTAAATTAACTTTTTATACTATTTTAACTATTTTATTATACTTTAATTCAATAATAAATAAAGTATTATTCTACTAAAAAAAAACTAAAATAAAATTTTTTTTTTAAAAAAGATATTTTAAATATTATTACTATCAATTTGCAATATTAAAACTTTAAATTATGCAAGCAAATTGCTTTAGATTTGATAAATATATATTTTAAATTTCACAAAAATTGAATTAATAGTTATAAAGATATTAAGATTCAAAATTGAGCAATTAAATTATTTGCTATATAATTTTTATATTAATTTTAATCAAATTTATATAGTAAAATTTAAGAAATAATAATTAAAAAAAGTTATTAATAAAAATAGTTTATAAAAGATATATAATAAAAAAATTTATATTTAAATAATCTCAATATCTAATAACTTAATTAAATAAGACAGAATTAAAATTTTATTTTGAAAAAATATTTTATTAATATTTATCTGAGATAAAATCTTTTTGTATCAATCCATAATATTCAAAATCATATAAAATTTCTTTGCAATTCTGTAAAAAAAGTTATCTTTGACAAATATCTTTATATTCTGTAAAAATTACAATTACTTTTGAATCATTAACTTTGATATATGTATTTTTTTCAGATGCTATTTTTTTCAAAATATATCAAATATATATATTGTATTATTTATTAAAGAAGAAAGAACCAAATTGTTAAATAAAATGAAAAATTTTATTTAATTAGAATATCAAGTTTATAAATATTATGAACAAAAATTCTCAATATTCTGAATCAAAACTCTTTTTCTTTCTAAAATTCAAGCAAATATAATAAAAGATCAATTGATTAGTCAAATTTTCCAAGTTCAAAAAATTATGAAATTAAAGAAATTTATGTTACTACAGTTGAATATGCCAACACAAAACCTGTAGATGAAGGACAAACTCTTATTATCACTATTTTCTCAGATTGTGATCTATGTGATGGTAGTCACAGCATTTGTTATAGCTCTTAGAAATGTATTTTAATTATCACATTATCAATAATATCTTTGTAAATAATTATGCATTAAAGCTATATTCTAGTCTTGAACTAGCAAATTACATACATTTAAATTTAGCATCTCTAAAAATAGATGATAAAATTAAAAAATTAACTATAATTTGAAAAAATTTCTTCAAAATTAAAAGATTCAACAATTTCAGCAGCTATATCATGTTCATTTACATAAGCCTTTTGATACCAATCTAAAGCCATCTCGAGATTTTTTGAAATTCCTATTCCATAATGGTAAAATTTTCCAATATTAAATTGGGCTTTATTATTACCGGATTCCGCCGCTTTTAAATACCAATTAAATGCTTCATTATCATTTCTGCCTGTTCCTTCTCCATATTCATAGCATTGTCCAAGTCGAAATTGTAGGCGAGAATTTCCACTAGTTGCTAATTTTAAGACACTTTTAAATAAAATATGTTCTAAATTTTTCATTTCTTCATTGTTTTCATAACTAAATCTAAAAATAAATTGGGCTCTATTAATATCAGACTCTGCTGCTTTTGTATACCATTCGATTGCTTTTTGTTCATTTTTAATTGTTCCTTTGCCATTTTGATAAAAGAGAGCAAGATTAAACTGTGCTTGAGGAAATCCAGACTCTGCTGATTTTAAATACCATTCGAATGCTTTATGGTCATTTTTAATTGTTCCTTTTCCATTTGCATAACAGAGAGCAAGAGCAAACTGTGCTTGAGGAAATCCAGACTCTGCTGATTTTAAATACCATTCGAATGCTTTATGTTCATTTTTAATTGTTCCTTCGCCATTTTTATAACTGTTAGCAAGATTATGTTGTGATTGAGGAAATCCAGACTCTGCTGATTTTAAATACCATTCGAATGCTTTTTGTCCATTTTTAATTGTTCCTTTGCCATTTTTATAACAGAGAGCAAGATTATATTGTGCTTGAGGATATCCAGATTCTGCTGATTTTAAATACCATTCGAATGCTTTTTGTTGATTTTTAATTGTTCCTTCGCCATTTTCATAACAGTGAGCAAGTTTATTTTGTGCTTGAGGAACTCCAGACTCTGCTGATTTTAAATACCATTTGAATGATTTTTGTTCATTTTTAATTGTTCCTTCGCCATTTTCATAACAGAGAGCAAGCGCAAATTGCGCTTGAGGAACTCCAGACTCTGCTGATTTTAAATACCATTCGAATGCTTTTTGTTCATTTTTAATTGTTCCCTCGCCACTTTCATAACAGAGAGCAAGCGCAAATTGTGCTTGAGGAACTCCAGACTCTGCTGATTTTAAATACCATTCGAATGCTTTTTGTTCATTTTTAATTGTTCCTTCGCCATTT